GATGTGTAGAACACTAACCTTAGGATTGCTTTAGCTTATTAACACAAGGAATACCGCAAGTTAAGCAATATATGTAAAAAGCCTAACTCTAGAATAGAAAATATAGGTAGAAAGTTCAAAGGTGTACAGCAGGTCGGGGAACCTACACACAAAAGCACCGAGACGGGAATCTCCAGCTCTCCGATCACAAGGAGGTGGGAACAGACTCCCTGGCAACAACGGGAACAGCGTCCCTAGCAACAACGGGAACAGCGCCCCTAGCAACAACGGGAATAGCGTCCCTAGCAACAGCTCGCGCAGGCGCAGAGTGCACCGGAAGAGCTACACGGAGCGGGAATAGAAGAGTCTCAAACCGGAGCCTTTGGGGAAGGGGTGTGCGCCGTTGGCGGAGCAGAGACTCCCCGGCCGCCCAGCGCTGTTTAGCTTTCTGAAGCCTTGCTCAATCAATACATTTCCTAATTGAACTGGCTCCTACCAGTTTATTGGGCCGCAATTTATAACAAGATGATTACAGAAGAGACTCAGAGGTTTGCTAACCAGAAGGAAGAGCTGCAAATGGGAATAAAAAGGCTGCGTAAAACTGTGAGTTTCTTACAAGGGTCATGGCTCAGCTTACCAGCTTTGTTTACAAGAACACTTCCTTTATGGCTATCAGCTGTACTGCTCAGTTACATTTTTGTCATAAACTCTGAGCAGACAGGTAATAAAGAGATGTGCTCCTTCAGGGACTATACACTGAAACTGCCAGGAGCTACTGTCTGGTTCTCAGTTTCCTTTGCCCCAAATAAATATTTTGTACCACCCTTACACCTTGAGCAATCTATCCCCTCAGCAAGCTAGTTTCTGCCTAACAACCTTCCTTTAGATAAAATACTGTCCTCTCCTCTTTCTTCTGTTTCTTTCCATAAAAACTGCTGTCTGCAAGAGAATAAGGCAGAGGGTCACCTAGAGCAGTCTGCCCAGGACCACATCTGGAGAGATTTTTATCTCCAGAGATGGAGATTCCATGACCTCTCTGGGCAACCTGTTCCAGTACTCAGTCAGCCTCACAGTAAAAAAGTGTTTCCTGATGTTTGTGCAGAATCTCTTGTATTTTGGTTTGTGCCCATTGCCTCTGGTCCTGTCACTGGGTGCCACTAAAAAGAACTGACTCCACCCTCTTAGTACTGTCCCTTCAGGTGTTTATATACATTGGTGAGCTTCCCCCCAAGTCATTTCTCTTTTAGGCTGTACAGTCCCAGCTCTCTCAGCCTTTTCTCAAATGAGTTATGCTTCAGTCCCATCATCACCCTCACTGGACTCTCTTCAGTATGTCTGTGCCTCTCACCTCCCTCACCCTGCTAGCAACACTCTCAGTACAGCCCAGGATACTGTCAGACTTTTTTTGCCACATGGGCAGGTTGCTGGTTCATGGTCAGCTTGCTCCACCAGCGCCCCCAGCTGCTTCTCTGCAAGGTAGTTTTCCAGTTGCTCAGCACCCAGCATGTCCTGCTGCATGGCACTGTTCCTGCCCAGGTGCAGGATTTTGCATTTCATTTGTTGAACTGCATAAGATAATGATCTAATAAAGTCATAACAGCTTAATAAAGTTCTCAGTACCAAAGAATCAGGAAATATGTACTACATTTTCTTAGAAACTATACATAATTTCCATATAACATCCAAATCAACTTTAAGAAAATATGAAATATATTCACATAGTGCTGTCATTAGCTACAGGCAGCATATTCCACCAATTACCATGAAGCTGTTAAAAGTGCACGCAATTAAAATAATTTCCTCTGATATCAAGTTCTATAGTGTTCAAAATAGCATTTCTCCTATTCACATTCAAATTACTTTCTATTTCTTATACTTTTTTTTTTTAAAAAAACAGATTCAGAAAATGATGCATGAAAATGAGAAGGTGCCAGACATTGAGAAACTGGAGAAGCAGGAGTTTAACCTGGATATAGAAGAACAGGAAAGAGCAGGCTGAACAAGAAGTGGCCAGGGTATGACAGAATGGAGGAACATTTTAAAAATATCAGTGAAAAGGCAAAAATGGTTAAAGAACAGAGGGTTATCTCAAAGTTGCTGTTCACTGCTGAGAAGCAGGAAAACTGAAAAGTATTTTGAAGCAGGTGAAACTGATGATGCAGACATTGCAAATGGGAATATGATCTATGCCAGAAATTATAAATCTGACACTGTGGCCTTGGGCATGTTGCTTAAGTTCTACAGTGCTTTTCTCCACATTTGAAATGATGCTTTTCAGTAGTATCCAATACAGTTTCTGGAGAAGATAGCTGTAATAGTCTAAGATGATGAAATACTTGTAATTCATTTCATCTGTTAGTTTTTTTCAATAACTCAGTACAACTTGTCTGTATGTTGTTATTTGCAGCATATCTTGTTATTTTCTTTTCTGTATCTTGAAAGGTGAGGAAAGAGATTGAGATGGAGATTTTAGCCAACTGGTATTTGCAGGATGCCATCAGACGCGAGTGTTGGGATGCTATGTGTGTAAAAGGACGTGCAGTTAAGGTAGCCTCTGCTTTCTAAGTCATTTTCTGCAATAGTTTATTTATTCCTTAAGGTACAGAGACAAAATAACACATTTCTGATTTGGTTATGGTATGGGAAAAGCCTTACTTCTTCCCAGGACTCACGCAAGTCTTTCATTCTGTTCGTTTTGTCTGAGCCTTGCTGATCGTATCTTTTAAGGTGGAAAAGTGTTGATAAGCAAATAAGCAATTCTCTAATTCCTTGGTCTCAGACAATATATTTACACATTATTGCTAAAAGGAGAAGTAAATACTATTTTTCTGTGTGCAGTCAATATGAACAGAAAGGCAAAACTTAACCCTGATTTTGCCTGTTTTAAAGAGAGGGAGATGAGTCAAACTGATGATACTGGATTATCTCAAGGCTGGTGAAAGACCAAATCATTTTACAAATGATGTAGCTTTGGTTTAATTCTTTGGATTAAGGGACTATATCCATAGATTATTTTTAAATGTATTTTTAATGTCTATATTAATTGATTCTCAATTTTAATTCCTGATTTTAAGAAGTCTTTATAACTGCTTAGCATTCAGTTATTGAACAAATGAACCAAAAGAGGCATTCTGAAGAACTTCTTACTTGGGGTTTTGTTATTTAAATTTGAACAGTGCTTCCATATGGATTGTGAAGTGAAGAATTATCCACTGAAGGAACGTAGTAAAGAAGAACTGGAAACTCTGGAGAAAGTCCTCCAGTTAAAGCAGATTGAGACAGCTGATCTTGAGGTACAATCTGTTTGGAGAACTGCATAAAGGCATATCAGGATGTCCTAAGTTGGCAATTTTAATGTCTTTTTATATGGTTACATTTCTAAGATCTATTTTCTTGTGGTTGAAAATGTCAAAAAAAATTTTAAAATATAAGTAAAGATGAAATGTAGTTTTACTTAGAAAACATGTATTAATCTTATAGAATCACAGAGTAGGTGAGGTTAGAAGATGCCTTTGGAAGTCATCTAGTCCAACACTCCTTGACCAGTTTACTCAGGGCCATGTCCAGTCAGGTTTGAAATATCTCCAAGGATGAAAGATTCCATAACCTCTATGGGCTATCTCTTTCCATGTTTGACAACCCTCACAGAAAAAGTGGTTTATTTAAGTTAGCTGTCCTGTATTTCAGTGCATAACCATTTTCTCTTTGTCTACTGAGCACCACTGAGAAGAGTGTGGTTCTGTTGTCCTTGTCTCCACCATGTTTTTGTATGCATTACTAGGATCCCCCCAAGCCTTTTCCTTCTTGAGGCAAAACAGTTCCAGTTCTCTCAGCCTGGCCTCACATGTTAGATGTTTAAAATCCTTAATAGTATTAGTGTAATAATAGTAACAGTAATTAATAAGTAATAGTTTTAAGAGTAAGGATATTACTATTGTAAGTAAAGTAATTAAACAGTAATAGTATTAGTGGCCTATCACTGGACTTCCCATAGTTTGCTTCAGTCTTGTACTGGGGAACCTACAAATGGACCCAATGTTCCAGACATGATCATTTCAACTTGTATTATTTTGATCACTGAGCTTAACTGAAGAATATAACCTCTAGAATGTTTTTCATATATGTGCCACTGGATCTTGTACAAATTTCATACAGTTATCATGTTTGTGATATACAGATTAAGAAGAAAAATCTTGAGATCCAGTCTGAGACTGAGTTATCTACGGAAGAAGGAGAGCAGGCAGCAGAAGCAGTGGCTGATGATGGTGCATCTTACTGCCTAATTGGAAGTCTGAGCGATCTGTATGGAGGAGACACATCTGTCCTGTATCACCAATGTGACTTGCACACCAGAGAGCGGAGAGCCAATCAGATAGTGTTGTTGAAGGTGACGTCTTCTGAAATTTGTCTTGCTGCAGTGACACTGTCATATCTGTTGGTTTTCACATCAGCCACAGCCACTGTTAGATTTTGGGCATACTGGCACTAAACAATGGAGAGTTGCACAGGTCTCTGAGTAACTGAGGTGAAAGCTGATTAAGTGCACATAGTGCAGTAGAGCACCATGTAGATTTACCAGCACGGGTTTGGAAGAACAACATTTTCATTAAATTGGTTACCCAATTTGAGAGTATCTGTATTTGCACACTGGTGCTTCAGTTTGAGTTTTCCTAGCCAAAGACAGCTTGTACATCTCAGCATGCCTTGTGACAATATGACCTCTTTCTCTGTTATCTCTTTCCATTATCTGCTACTGAATGAAAGATCAGCTGAACCCTCGCACCATTTCCTTTCTCCCCAGTCTCACCATCCCTTCATTTGGAGTCTTCAGTGTCTCAGTTATTTATTATTCATTACTATCAGACTCTCTTACTTCTCTTACCCTGGCCAGCTTATTAAGTCATAAACATGCTACAGAATAGGCTTCTTAGGAAGATGACCTACAAGTGGTTAAACTAGTATAAGTCATTGCTTCCTCAGAACTTTTTAAGGCTGGAAGTGGTAGTAGAGCTCAATGATTATGCATTGAAACACATAAAATCTAGCAGATTTAAACTAGAGTGTAAGGAGATGGCAAAGACATATGAGGAGCATTTTTAAATGTAAGATTGGATGTAACATGAAGATCCTCTTACTGTGTGGCTTTAAAGAAGCATATTATATAACTAAGTGTAGATATATCTTCATTGCTTTTGGCCAATGCAGTGAGCTTGCTGAGAGCTCCATGGTCAGCTAGACATTGAGCACAGCCTTTGTTCTCCCACCAACACGGTACCTTATCTGCCATCCTGCCTGACTACATCCTAACTTATTATTGTGCTAGAAATCAATGAAATAATCAGCAGACACATATTTTTGTTGTAATACAAATTGCAAATAGCTAAGCATCCCAAAATGTGAAGTTTAATGACAGAACTGAAATCCTTCTCATGGCACATTTTAGGAAATTGGCAAGTATGGGAGACACATGGTTTTCTCTCTTAATGTTCTACTTTTCTTTGTTGAGATCAATTGTTTAGGCCAAATGAATAATTGATCCACTAAGAATATATACCTTTTTATATCATTACAAGGTCTCAGGTGTTTTAAAAATTTAGTTTCCAATGTTTGTTTAATGGGCATATTTTACTTACATATTTCAGACAGAGAATCACATGAAAGCATATTGAAACTGCAGGTTGCATCAGGAAAGTTTGTCCTTTGCTCTGCCTCCCTGCACTTGTGATTTACAATCTCTAGATTTACAGGTCACTTTTTTTTCTTTGAAGCCCCTTCTTTCAGCTGAAGTGGACAGAAAACAACAAATAGAGGGCAGCCAAATTTTTTTCTCTATCTTTGGCAGCAGCATGTTTCTTTCAGAATCTTTGTCAAATCACAAATATGTAGAAGAAAATTAATAAAAATGTCTAGGAAAAAAAGATAATTTGCCCAACTCCATTTCATAGAATCACAGAACTTAACAAAGCTTGAACTCTGCTCTCAGGATTTTCACAAAAGGGCTTTACCAGTTTCTCTCCCTGTCACACATACAAATATACACATTGATGATCCTAGTGGCTTGATGAGTAGTATGTAAACATGGATGAATGTGACCTGTGCAGTAGTGCTGTTTCCTTTTTTTGGTATTTTAGGACATCATTTACAAGATGAAAACTGCTTTTAATAAGGAATTTGACATAGTTGCACGGCAAAAGGAGCAAGAGATAGCACGAGTGAAAGAAAGAAACCTGAGGATTCAAGAAATCTTGGCACAACTTGACCTCCAAATGGAAGTGTGGGAACCAGCTCTTACCGACAATGAGATACCAGAGCGAGCACTCACTGTGCAGGATTCAGAGGTATCTGAAAAATACAGCTGTCTATTTCACCCACTCAAATACAGTTCTGCAATTATTCTCATTTCCAGAGATTGTGTCTGTACTGAAAAGCCTTAAAACAGATGTGACTTCCCTTGCTTCCGTTTCGTTCTTAGGGAGAAAACTCTTAATAGTCAATCTGAAATAAATAAAATGTATACAAACTTAATTTATTGCTGTAAAAAGGTTTTAAATGCCCATAAATTAGGTAGAAATTCTTCCTGTACCTGAGATTCAAACTAGGCTTTCAGAAATTGCTTCCAATAGATAAGGGTTTCTCTGTTTTCTCTGAGCACCATTTTGAAACTAAGTTGTTTCAAACTAAGTATGTTAAGTACTGAAGAATACTCAGACTGTACTTACAAAGTCAATTGATAATTTATAAAGAAACACTCAATTTCTTATACAATGTATTCCACTGGTCTTATCTGCACTTTTGGTCAATCTTTTCCCACTTTTCTATGCCCTCCAAGCAGTCCATGTTACACCACTGTCAGAAAAGGCATGCACAAACCAGGACTAATATCAACAAAAGCGATGGTCCTTTGGATTTTAGGATATCTAAGTAATATTTTAGGTATCTAAGTAAGGAGCTGTTCAAAGGGAGAATTTTCATCTTGAAGAATATTATCATAGAGCAGAGATACAAAAAGCATTAAGAATTAGTATTACACCATTGTCATGGTTTAACCCCAGTCAGCAACCAAGCACCACACAGCTGCTCATTCACTCCTACCAGGGTGGGGGAGAGAATTGGAAGGGTAAAAGTGAGAAAACACACAGGTTGAGATAAGAACAGTTTAATAATTGAAATAGAAATATCATAATAATAAATGTAATTAAAAGGAAAATAACAAAAAGAGAAAGAAATAAACCCAAGGAAAAACAAGGGATACAAATTGAAAACAATTGCTCATCACCAACACACCAATGCTCAGGCTGTTCCTGAGCAGCAGCACCCCACCCCAGCCAGCTTTTCCTCTAGTTCCCAGGCTGAGCATGATGCCATGGTCTGGAATAACCCTTTGCCCAGCTGGGGTCACCTGTCCTGGCTGTGTCCCCTCCCAGTTTCTTGTGCACCCCCAGGCTCCTCACTGGCCAGGCAGCATGAGAAACTGAAGAGTCCTTGACTTAGTAAGCACTGCTCAGCAACAACTAAAACATCAGTGTGTTACCAACATTATTCTCATTCTAAATCCAAAACACAGCAGCACACCAGCTACTGGCAAGAAAATTAACTCTATCCCAGCCAATACCAGCACCACCATCTTCTCAAAGCTTCTTAGTCCACATATGATCATATTTGGAGAAAAGAACCCTGAAACAAACCTCATTTTCTTCCTTCAGATTAAAGCTGAGAAGTACTTGACTCAAGAGGAGAGAGAGAAAGCAGAAATGCTGGCTAAGCTTGAAATGGAAAGACAGCTTTCTATCAAGGTAATAAAGTAGTATCCTTATTACTGAGTAAGACTGTCACCGGTTAGGATTATTTAATTAATGCAGCACTGAAATGTTCCAGTAGTGTACTATGGGAGAACAAATTTAAAATGGTAGGTAATGATGGTGTGTGCCTTTTCCCTCTTACTATTGTTTAAAACCAGAACTACATAGACCAGCTGGAGGAAGGAAAGATAAGAGTGTTCGGATCACAGGTTTTAAAAATGTGCTTAGTGGCAACTTAATGGCTACTGCTCAACCAAGAGCTTGGTGCTGGATATGTGTTTGTTGACTGAGCAGCCTCTGCTCCTCAGGGATCAGACTAGATCATTATGCTTTCCTCTGGCTTTAAAATGCATCTGAGAAAAACATAAGAAGGTTCTACCCCCAAAAGAGATGCACAATAAGACAGTGACACTACAGCTTCCTTCATCATAGCTTGCCAATTGGCCAGGAGTAGTCTATGCCTATGTATTCTTTCCAAAACTGCCAGAATGGCAGTTTTAATAAGTTATTTGGCCCACCAGAAAATAAAATCAGCTATTTTTAGCATATTTCATATGCACTACCAAAGAGCTTTAATCTACTAGTGATACACCAAATAATCATGTGGGTGATCTAAATGTGAACACTATTATCATTCCCAAAACGTCCAAGTCCTACACTTCCTTTTGTACCTTAAAATATGTTTTGTGATCATTCCCAGGACAATGAAAGACTGCGAGCTCTTGATGGCATGATGGGTGGAGTGCTAGAAATCAGAAAGGAAGACATCTTGAAAATGGTGAGATGTGTTTCTGCCATGTCATTTAGGTAGCTTGTGTGCTCTTAGGGCAATGTGAAATCCAACTAGCAAGTATTTCCAGAAGAGAGTTGGAGAATTGTGGAATTGCATTTTGACTAGACATACTCCTAAGAGACCATACACTGGATTCAAAGGAGACCACAAGATTCTACTGCCTGTGTATGATTTACCCATCAACTCCTGTCCCTATCACAGTGGAATACTGTAGGAACATAATCTAGTATTACCATTGCAACAACTGTATTGCTGGGGGAAGGGTCTATTATCCATGGCTGTGATTTTACAGGAGAACACTGTGTTCCATTTAAGTCAGCAAATACAGATAGTACAGTAATAGAGGAAGCAAAAAATGTGAAGCAATGTCATAGAAAAGAGGTTAGGGCAGACCAACCACTCTCTCTGGAACTGATCTGTTTTGGAAAATTAGGACTCCACTTAAAAGTATACATTAGCATGGAGTAAGATTTCGGGTTCTGAAGCAGAAAATGGGGTATATCTTCTATTGACAGTATATTTGACAAGAAATAATTGTATTCTGTAAGATCCAGTGGTGAATTCCTGTGAGCAAGTGAGACTAGCACAACATATATACAGCAAAACTCCTGGTGCAAGTGCAGACCAGAGCAACAGAAGCCTTGGCTTAAGGCTTGTACCTTACTAGGAAATACCTTTAGTTCATTTTTTTGCATGCAATAGTTTGTTAGTGTTCTGATGGAGACTTAATCTGCTTTTGAAGCATAGTTCTCTTTAATACTTCCAGCATGTTCCTCCACCTCCTTTTATATCCAAGCCTGAGGATGTTTGGAATGAAGAAGAAAATAAAATATTTAGAGAATATGAGAAAAAAGTCAAGGAACTGAATGAAGAAAAAGAAAATTATAAGCAGGTAACTTAAAATGAGGAAAGGAGTGGATTTACTCATGGTGCTCATGACCAAAGCTTCTGATCTTTCTCAGGAGCAACTTCTAAAAAGAAAGACTAATAAATAGGATAAACAAAGAACAAATTAAGAACAAAGATCATATGGCATATAAAATAAATCCTAGCTTAGACTATAGAATAAGTCAATCTCCACTTACACCAATTAATATGTGCAAAAACCTATGATATCTGAAAAAGAAAACTTTCCTTCACAAATGTGCCTACCAGTATTCCTAAAATGTTTTTTTTTCTGGTTCCATTCCCAGAGGTGCTGGTGCCATACACAAATAATACATTTACATTTATCCTTCAAAGTGGTATTTGAACAACATAACTTGGTAGTCTGGCAGCACTCTCATTCCAACCAAGTAACTTCTGGGGCCTTTTGGCTGAAGTATACAGTCCCATATTGTGCATTCTTCAGCATCTCATATATATTGATAGATAGAGAGAGATCAGAGGTTATTTGTTCCTCCAGATGTAATAATTCTGCTTTTGTCCCTCCCTTCCCCAGGCACTGGAAAATGAATTGAAGAAACTTGAAACTTCCATCCAGGAAACAACACGAAATTTTGATGAGACTGTCTGCAAACTCTCTGAAAGGAAATTGAAATTAGAGATGGTCATCCACCAGGTATATCAAAAAGCATTATTTTTTCATCTCTGCCTCTGTGCAGCAAGAATGTTACCAGTTTTATTACAATCACTTCACAGGAAGAACTCAAAATAGTCAATCTCACTTATGCTTTACTGCTGGAGGAAGAGCTGGACACTAGAGAAGCTAGACTTTGTAATTTACTTAAGAAAATGAAGAATGAAAAAGTAAGTTATCATTTGGAATGCTGGTCTTGGGGGAAGTGTGATATTTACAGTGCAGTTTCTTTCCAAATCAAAATTCTGCCATAAATGACTTTCTGATAATTTAAAGGGTCACTGGGTTTTTTTCAACCTGTACTGACATACATTACAAAAATATTTTGGGTTTTTGATAGATACTTAGCTTGATTCATCTGGAGTTCTCTATACAAGATAAAAAAAGTATCAATGTATGTCCTTACATTCAGTGTTTAAAAAGACTTGTAAGCATTTATACAAGATATTTCTTACACGAATTTCTTGCATTCTTAAGCAGGGAGCTACTTTAGTTTCACACCTGTTCACCTTTTAGCAGTATCTCTAAGTGACCCCTGAAGAAGGCACTACAGTAAAAATAGCTCACAAGGTTTTCTCTAGAAGTAAGAAAGTGTTAGCTTCATCAGTGTATATAAAAGGCCACTCAGTGCTTCTGCTGACTGATTTTCATTCCTGAAATCTTTTGGTTTTGCTATAGGTCAAGACTGCAGTAGAAATCCAGACCACAAAACATAAAATTAAGGCTTACACAGACACCTATAAAGATGCAGTAGACAAAGATAAGGTGAGACTCTTGATAAACACAAGGAGGTTCAGAAATGAGAAGTTAATGTTGTGTCTCAATAATAAGAACATACCCCTCTGTAAGCATGAGTTCTGGTCAACCTGCTGATCAGTGCAGTGAAGCAGTAAAGGGCATTGTGTGCGTAGAAGGATTCATGAAATTCCAGGTTCCCGTGACGCTTGGGAGTGCTTGGAAGAGCACTGTATTATGTGTTTCCAAGAGATGGGCAGGTTGATGCCTTTTTAAAAATAACATTGTGGTAACAAGAAAGCTTTCTTTTCCCCCCTAGAATCTGGAATATGGTTTTAGAAAAGAATATGCTGATATACCTGCCAATCTCCGTGATGAACTTTTCCAACTTTACAAGCATCGACCAAAGTAAGATCCCCTCTGATTCCATTGTTCAAACACTAATATTTCTTGTGAGTCAAGAATGAGAATGCTATTTATTTCAATAGTCTAAACTATTTTGCCTGCTTTTTATTGGAGAGTTAACAATGGTACATTTCCGATCACATTAACAATTGCTATTTTAAGTATTTACATTTCCTTATTCACTCTACAAAATCTATTTTAAATGCAATCTAAATAATCATCAGGTCTCAAACCCATACATTCTTTTTTTTTTGTAAGATGTTGCCTTACCTATTAGCTTTTTGCAAGAGATTCAGAGTAGGAAATGTTCTTAGTTGGTTTTGACCTTCTTATGCACAAGAAAATAAAAAGTAAATCCTGTATGTGCTGTGTGTGTGCACTAGGATTCCAGGGACAGAAACCCTCCTTGACACAGCTAACCCCTATGGGAACTGTTCAGGCTCAGCTGAGGACTACAAAGATGCATTTCCCCTTTTAATGAAAGCCATGGATGAACTGGATAGGCCCAAGCACATGCCTAATGGCTTAGACCAATCTATATGGGAACATTTTTGTCTGGCTAGACGAACTAAGATGGAGAGTGAGGAGCTGGTATGTAAAATTCTTTATTTTGCCAGTGTACTTCTTGATATTTTCGAGTCTTAGACTTCAGTGTATTTCAAGCTCATGGTGTAATATCAATGCAGGATACATAAACTCCATTTGACTTTGAAAGTTTCTGCTGGCCACATTCAATTCAGAATAACAGGGACACTTGTTCTCTAGTCCTAGCTCTAGTTATTCTTCAGAGGAAAAAATAGCATATTAATGTGGATGGATTTGATCAGAATGGTTGTGACCTTGATATGGTTTCATTAAAATTTAAAAATTTTCATTTTCTCTATCCATACAAAAAAAATGAAAAGGTGTTTGATTCCTATCACGTGTTGGAGTTGTTCTCTCATTCCCATATTTTTCTAGAATATAGAACAATTCTTAACAAAGGGTGTTTCTGGAAAGTTCTAGCAATCTATTTGTTCAGTTTAAAAGCTTGAAGGCATAAATCTGAATTATCCAGAGACACATGACATTTGACCAACAGAGAAGGAAATACAATTTCCCTTCATGTGAATAAACTATGCATATATAAACAAATAGTTTTCTGAGCAGAGTGAAGGATTGTAACCTCTATATCTCTTATGCTGTACTGGGACTCTTAAAATACCAGGCTGCATATTTATATGTACATATATCTCCTTAAGAACTTGTCTTCTCTGTTCTTGAAGAGGCTTTCCCTGTCATAGTGACAAAGCTGAAAATGTTCAGAATGTCACAATGTTGCTTGCTTAGGTGAGAAGGAAGACCCTGAAGCTGGAAGAGATGCAGGCCTTTCTCCAGGGAAGAATGGATGACAATGAGAAGCTGAGGTCAAAAATAGAGAACATTTTCCAAGAACTCACTTGGTAATTCTATGTCTTTTCCTATGTTCAGCTACACTTTAATACTCCACCAAGACCAAACCAAAAGTTACAAACAGAATTAGCTGTGTTCTTCAACACTCTTTTACCTAGGTTCTGTTGCTGCTTGGACCTGCAATATTTTAGTTTTTCATGTAATTTTCACATTCATTATCATTCAAGAACAAATCCCAGAATACAAGGAAACAGGCACTGGCTGGAAACTCTTCTCAATGGATGATAAGATTTCTTTTCAGTAACAACACATTCTCTCAGAACATCTGCTAGAGTATGTTAAGGTGAATGCAGTGGTTGAAAACTCCATGTATGAAAATAAAGTTGCAGATTCTGTAGTCACTTTGGGAGCAAACAGAAGACAGGCTGTCACAGAGTAACCTCTACACAAACATACCACTTACCAGTAATAAACATTGAGAATCATGGGAGGATTCATATAATCCTATTGAAATCACTAAACACTGTTTTTGTTTTCTGCCATTTTAGGCTGCAGGCGGAGAAGAAGAAACTTCAGCAGAATTTCACTGTCCAGTTTTTGCTAAAACAAGGACAGGTGGAATTGGAAAGTACTGAGATCCCAGACTACACTGATGCCATTCTCATTCAAAAGAGTGTTATTGAGGAACTGAATTGCTCTATCATGGTAATTTACATTAACTGAAGGAAATTTAAGCTTTTTAAACAAATATATTGTCCTCAGGGACTCTGCTTTTTCTCCACTTTGACATCTAGTTTCATTTCCTTACAAGACACCAGCAGGCTAAATTGTAATCTGGAAGCTCTTAAGAATTCTTTAATGTCTCTTATCATGATGCAAAGATTGCAGTGCAGACTGTTTCCTTGATTCGAATCAATGAATTGGCAACACTTCTTAGAAACACCATCACTTACACATACATTGTAAATACAAAATGCTAATATCCTGGACACTAGTCTGAAAATTCCCTCAAGGCAAACTCACAGCCATGTTAAGAAGCATTTGAACAGTAGCTTGCATTGATTGAAAAAATTAATACAGTTTTTTATGGAAGGTGAAATTGGTGTTCATGCTTCAAACAGTTTTTCATACCCTCATTAAATATTCTTTCTTTAGGCATTCTAGCTGTACAGAAATTGCCTCTTACTGCTACTGCACAAAGCCTTCATTAACTGCAAAATACCTTATACAGAGCTGTATTTCACACAGCTAAAATGCCTTCTCATTCTTCTAAAAGACAGAAAGATGGGGAGAGACTTCAGCTGTCATTTTCTTCATCTACTTCTATGATCCAAAGCTGTGACAGAGAACATAAAAGGGAACAACCCTCTGCAAAAGATAACCATCTGGAGCAAAGTCTGGAAAGAGACTGCAGTACAGCATGTTTAAGTGACTAAAGTTATAACTTTGGAAGCTTGCCCATCTTGCTGCAAATAATCATTCCATAATCTGTAAAGTGTGCTAATTAAGATTGATCTATTTTTTCAGGCTCAAGGAGAAAAAAACATTGCTGCCAGAGTAAAATATAAAGAATTCTCTAAAGGGATATTTCAGCTGGAATGGGAACACAAGAAAATGAGAATGCAGATAGAAGATCTGGAACAGAGGGCTCGGGATATTGTAACACTACCTATTTCAAAAGATTGCCTGCTAGTGAGTTGCTTTCTCTAATTTATCTTTTGACTGCAGAAAATTATGCTGCCTATACCTGTAAGATCGTTTATACCTTGAAAGTCTCTTATTACAACAGAGAAACCTGATGCCTAACAGGTCAACAATTCAGCTATCAAAGGGAAGTTTTACTCTTGAGATTGATCAGTGGTTAAGTTCTTTGGGATATTCAGGTGTAAATGAAGGCAAAATTAGCCCTAACTCTAAGTGTTTCAAAATTGGCATTGAATAAGGGGTCAGGATTTTGCAACCACGAGGAACAGATCTTTTGAATTGAGCAGCATCCTTTTGAAGTGGAAGGTCTGAGGTGCCCCCAGCTGGTATCGCACAGAAATACTGTAACTTCAGTTCAGTATTCAGAGATGGAGCGTTCTGACAGGAGCTCAGCTGAGGCCCACCCCTCACTGCCACTTGTTGGCCCAGAAGCAGAACCGCAGGGAATTGTCTGCTCTGCCTGGCAGGCAAGAGGGAGCAACAGGCCAGCAAGTCAGCACCCACAAGGCTTTGAACAAGCCCAGCTGGCAGGCCAGGAAATGTAAAGGCTGTGGGAGAGAGGCAAGGGGATAAGAAAGAAGAAAGGTCATAGGGGAAGCTTGTGGGTATTGCAGTACGGGATGTAGGGGACCACTGGGAAATCTTAGGGTCTTGTGGAGATGACATGTGGGGCTTAAAGGTTTGGAGTAAGGGATGTTGGAGGATGGGTAGGCTGGAGATATTGCAGTGGGGAGAGCAATAAAGTACAGAGAAGAAGAAAAATGTTAGAGAGCTGGTAAGGATATTGCAGTTCAGTTGAGAGATGAAAAGAAAATCCAAAACACATGTTTTGCTCAGTCTTCATTTGTTTTGCTGCTCTCCAAACTGCTTGTTCACTTCTGAATCACAGCCAAGGGACTTCCATAACTAACAGAACAGCTTTCCAAAGAGGTGATGTGACAACACACTGAAAAGTTCTTGTGGGGAATTTATCACCAGAGTGCTGCTGTTAGCTCAAACTTCATTTCAACTGATGAGCAGAACTATTGCCCTGCAGAGAGAGTTTAACTGTCCACAGCAAAGGCATTTACCAGTTTAATCAGAATTTGAATGCTCTGAAGAGTTTGAATTATGGGGTTAGGGGGAAAGACAAGGCAAAAGAGACCCCAACAATACAAACAGAGAGAAACATGGCTTAGATAAATGTGTGTGGGCAAGGACCTGAGAACATCTGGAATAAAGGCTATTAATGAAGCAGTGAGTGAAAGAAGTTTGGTGCTGTAGGCAAGGAGCCTGCTGGGTCTTTCCTGTTTCTCCTCCTCTAACTAGAATAGTCCACAAAATCCTACCTGACACTTTGGTGGGACAGTGCTCTGGAAGGATGAATCTACATCTACAGAAATGTGTCTATTGCCCACTATGGGTCCATAAACCATTTTGGGTTTCACAATTTGTCATTGGATAGAGGTATTTTAGTAGCAGTATGCCCAAGGAAATAAATTCTCTGAAAATCTCAATTACTATGCAGTAGGACAATAAAAGAAGTTAAGAATTACTAGGAAGCCACTAGACAGAAAATAATGATCCTCCTCTCTAGCCTCAAGAGAGACTACAGTGCTGTGGCCTCCAGTTGGGTTACCCTCAATTATGTTATAAACAAAAGTGTAACTTGGGGTTTTTGACAATCTCAACAAATTTGCTTGGTCTCTGTTTCCATGAACACATAATAGATAACTTTCTTTTTAACAGCTGCACAGTCTAGTATTCACAGAGTCCATGAGTATCTTTACAATGTCCCTTTATGATCACTACTAAGCCTTTCCAGTGCAGGATTCTAGATTTTTGAGTTTCACATGGTATGATTGTCTTTATAGAAGTGTGGAATTGTTGACAACAAACAGGTTTAGTAAGATAGTTTCTTTCTGGTTTTACTTCTGCAGTTCCTAACTACGCAGGACTACCAAAGCCACATTGCCCAGCGCATTTCAACGATGGAAAACACTCTTGATGCCATGGATAAGGTAAATCCGAAGTGAACCTCCACACTGGAGAGGCACATCCTTAGTTTAAATGCAACTCCTCACCTTCATTAGCAAGAGATGTTTGTAAGGAATAACTGCAATTGATAGAGGCATACTAACTCAAGGACTGTTGTAGCACAGCCATAACAGCACACATAGACATATCTATCTCCATGTACTTGTCCATCTGGCTTCCAATAGTGTCTTCAATTTGTGCTGTGCTGTCTACAGCAGTTCTCTAAACAATTTGGAAGTACTCATCATACATGGATTGCTGCAGAGATCAACCCTATGGAGAGAAACCTACTTACTCTGTTACTGGAATTAAATGCCTGAACATCTGAGTGCAGATCCGCTAATCACTTCTTACACAGCATTCCCTATAAAAGTCACTCTTCCATTTCTAACGAAGCATTCTTTCAGTCTTCACTGCTAAATGTTTCCCTGCAGGAGCACCAGCCTGTTTACAACATCACTAACCCCCTGCATTCAAAGTAACAGACACAGCAATCTGATTTGCTTTTTCACCTGTTTCATCATTCAAATTACGACTATCCTTTTCTTTTAAGTGATTCCACTGGATTATCTCCAGGTTGCACTAGCTGGCATCAGCCTCCTCTTCCTCTTGAAGCTTTAGTATTTATCTTGCCCCTTTACAGCCCATCTATCAGTTTCAGGACAACCCCCCTTTCTTTAGCAGCTCCCAGCAGCCAAGAGCAGGTTTGTAACTCACTGATTCCATTGACTTTCTTTCCTCCCTTTGCCTTTCAAGTTTTATCTGTAATGTATCTCTCTCCCTGATCCATACCTCTTTGTTCCTTGGCTGCTCCTTATATTAGAACTCCATTCTGGGATACAGTGTGTGAAAGACACTATACGAAGTAAGGCTTAGAATGTGCTAGTAGTTAAAGCAAAATACATGAAAGTTTATCAAGCTACAATGCAGTGACTAAGATCACAGTTTTCCATCATGTTTGTCTGAACTGCTTTTGGATCATCTCATATATTTGCTTTATTAATTTTGAAATGGACAGTTCCACAAGAAGAAGGTGAAGAACCACCAGAAAAAAATTAGAGAGCTGAAAAAGTCCATCAGTTTAAAAGAGCAAGCAAACTATGAGCTCAGTCTGAAGCTGAGGGAAATGCTTGTGTCTGTCTCAGAACGGAGGCACATCTTGGAGGCAGCAGGTGAGTCCAATAATGTACTTTAAGTCACAAAGAACATTCAGAAAATATCTCCAAGGCTAAACAGTCCTGTTCTCCATCATCAGCTAAGGGGCATGGAGTGCCTGTCTATTACTGTATGTGCACAATTAGTGTCCTTTCTCCCAAAAGCTAACATTTCTTACTGGAGCAACACTGCGCACCTGGAGATTGGTGCTCTTGTAACCAAAGTTAATTGATTAAATTTCTGAAACAATTCAAGCCAAAATATTATAGTCATTAATGACTGCATTAGGCAATATGCTTTCATGCTTTCTCGGAACTGTTCAATGTACTTCTTTGCACCCATCCAAGGGAACAAAGGAAGGAGTATGAAGCAGAGAACAGTATTCACTATTAGGAAAACTGTAGAGATCTTTCTACTAGTGGAAAACAGGTAGATTTTCAAAACAGTGGGTATCTGCTAAATACCTAAAGCAAGCACGCCCAGTGCCTTTTTGAGACATTTTGCTTTATTCAGTGCTATAAAGGCTCTTAAGCCCAACCGTGAACCTTTTTTTAACAGGCTTGCCTATTTTATACAAGACTTGGAATAACCCCAGGGCAGGTCTAATATAAATATAGACCATACACCCCTACCAGCACAGGCTAACCCTTATATTGTGCTTTATACAGACATACGGCGTAGTTCTGAAGAGATTGCAAAGCAGCACTGCCAGAAGATTGTGAAGCAGAAACACCTACAGAGTCTTGCAAAGGAACAGGAAGAACAGTCTGAAATTCTTCAGTCAGGAGTTCAAAGACTGAGATCAAGAAAACTCCCTCCTCTTTAAAAAATCATAGTCCAGGTAGATGTACAATACAATGCTCTTATCTAAGAAAAAGAGCTTTGACAGCCAATTTTTCTCCCTGAACTTTTCTTCCCACAGATTTCTTCTGCAATTTCTTTAAAAATTACTTCAGTTTGAAAGATACATGTTGGTCTGGTTTGCGTATTTTAGACCTGGTCTTATCATCCCTATTGTATTTCAGTTGATGAGATTTATTTCTGCTGGTTTAATTATATATAGTTCCTTACAGAAAGCAAAGGGGACAAGAAATTGTAGACTGATAGAAGAATGGGTGTCTTTGTATACAATATGCAGTTTTAGTGTATTTTAAAGGTAAAGTACTGCAAGAAATCTATGAATTTGCATCTGCTAAAATTCATGTCCGTGGCTTTGACTTAATTTTGCTTTTAAAAATACATTTAGCCCTGTGATGCCACAGGTGTAGGTTGCTGAGAGGATGTAGGCATGCTTCATTGTGACCACGTGTGCTCCCTGGCCCAGTCCTGAGAGCTGCTGTGGCTTATGAGGGTGCAATTACCCACAGCCACCAGTGGCTGTGGCTGCTGCTGCTGGCAGAATCCCAGGAAAACTAGGTTTGGAAGCACATCGCCTCCTGAAATAGTTACTAGCGTCTCCCACCCCTTCACTGCCAGATCTCTCCAAGACAGCTAAGAATAATAAAGAACCTGTGATAAAATTAATTCC